ATCATAATTGACGTCGGGTAGCATTTCGGACTACTTACTGGATCGTAACTATTCGCAAGTTTGCGCGAAGGTTTTGTCACAGTTGCGAGACTCCTTCCGATATCAAGACCGACAGTTGGTCGGGAATGTCTTGTTAAATGATGTCGAAGTATGAAATGGTAATGCTGTTGCCTATGAAGCTTTGGTGAAAACATTGTCACTAAATTTTTGAAGGCAGATCGGATGGCTTGGTAGTATTGGACGAGAACATCAGCTAGTCATATGACAACGTTTGTATTATTTATTATTCCTTGGATTGTTCCGAAACTTTGCTGTCTTCTTGAGCGTGTGAATATGTCAGTCGCTGTATGTATTCTTGAAGAACAATCAAACGCGTTTTCCTGTATGTCGGTTAGGAGGCCTCATAATGTTTTAAAAATGTAGGCTTTATTTGGGCTTAGTGCACCAGTCGATGTCGATGTACGTTTTAATGGCGAAGAACAGAGGAAGCAGGTTGAGGTGAAGGTGGACAAAGAACGACGTGACAGGTTTCCTCTATACATGGATGGGGAAACTGTTACCGGAAGGGTACGACTGGCTACAGAAATGGTTGCTGTATTATGGTTTTCTCTATATATGAATAATACTCTTGCTTTTGCAGGTTACGATAAGACCGCGCGATGGCAAGAAAATTGAACATCAAGGGATCAAGATAGAGTTTGTTGGAAACATCGGTATGAGCTTTACTTAATCTTATTCAAAAGCGCGTGTCAAGATTGTATCTGCAAATTAGTAATATAATACGGTTAACACCAGTATTTAATCCCATAGAACTATTTTATGATAGAGGAAATCATTATGAATTTCTTTCGTTAGTTCAGGAATTAGACATTCCTGGGGAAATACGTCAGCCTAAAATGTACGAGTTTGAATTCAAGAATGTCGAGAAGCAGTATGAAAGCTATCATGGGATCAACGTTAAGTTGAGGTAAGTAAGGCTCTCGCATAGCTAGACAATAGTCCCTTCCGACGTTAATGATGATTAAAACAAATCGACAGATACTTTGTCCGAATTACAATCTCGAGGCGTCTCACGGATATTGTGAAAGAGAAAGATATCTGGGTATACTCATATCGTATGCCACCAGATAGTAATAACTCCATTAAAATGGAAGTCGGTATAGAAGACTGCCTCCATATCGAGTTTGAATATAACAAATCAAGGTATTCACTCTGTCAGTATCTTTGACTATATATAGACAATTCCAAAACAATCTCGTATAAGTATCAGCGGCAATCTCATTACACAGATACCATCTCAAGGATGTGATCGTCGGGAAGATTTATTTCCTATTAGTGCGTATAAAGATTAAACATATGGAATTATCCATCATCCGGCGAGAGACTACAGGGGCAGGTGTGACGTTTTCTGTACTTAGAGCGCATTGGATCGAGTACGTTTGCAATCAATTAATAGCTTCCGTCTTCAGCCCCTAATCAGTATAATGAAAGCGAGACTATAACCAAGTTCGAAATTATGGACGGAGCGCCCGTGCGTGGTAAGTCGAAGATGTCGTTATGTTCGTGTATATTTCCGTATACTCTTTCATAATTATTCCGATACCGTAGGTGAAACAATTCCTATTCGTCTCTTCCTTGGTGGCTTTGAGTTAACGCCAACTTTCCGTGACGTCAACAAGAAATTTTCTACCAGATATTATTTAAATTTGGTGTTGGTTGATGAAGAAAATCGTCGTTATTTCAAACAGCAGGAAATCACGATCTACAGAAGGAGAGGTAAGGCATAATTTCTTTGTATTATATAACAGTAGACGTTCTGTGAGGTTTACTTTATCCTATTTCTTATTAGTTGATGATGGGCTTCCACCCGAGGATGATAAAGAGTAGGGTTTAAAATACTCTAACCCGAAGCGTCTGAACGCGGATATTGTTGATAGACAAACTGACCTAATATGTTGCAATTGAATCGGTCAATTTGTTAATACGTCTATGAGGCGAAATCCATTGTCTGCTTGCACGCATCACTCATGCGCAGTTTAAGTTATAATCATCCGCGAACGTGTATAATTGAAAAGTCTACTCTAAAATTGTCAAAATCTCTGGTCTTAGACTTAGTATTTAGTAATTTTTAGTATGACATTATGCTAATTTATTTATATTCACGTATTCTGGGATTTGCGTTGATAGAATAAAGGTACTCGAGTTTGGAATAATGAATGAATAAGTTGTGACGTCATTTCATGAACACAATAAACAAACGAAGAAACCCCTTGATGTGCCAACACAAAATGAGCAAACTTACATTGGAACAGGCAAAGTATGTAGCGAGAATTAGTTTCCAAAGATAATGTCGGCAAACAGTATATACTGATTCAAACTTCTGCTTAGAGCGAAATGGGATTACATTTTTAGGGATCCTCTATTGACTTTGACTTCCCTTAGGGAAAAGGGTGTTAAGGGGAACTTTTGTTCAAATGGCCTTCGATCTGTCTGTTGGAAGGTGTGTAAGATTCCATGGCCAATGTTGTAGACTACTTCTAGCCCTTCAGAGTTACGATTAGTCCTTTATTGGAAAATTATATCGCGAGACTCCTTCTCCTGTCGTTTGAAATCTACGATGTGACCTTTACTAGTTGTTAATACATTCTATTTTGTTCAGTTTGGAGAGAAAATCCCAAAAATTGTAAAACATCACTTTAATAACCAAATCGTGTAAAGTTCACTTTGTTTCTGGTACGAAAATATGACTGATTTTAATTCATTATTGTTCATTGAAAGATCGGTTTCTTTTTTAAAGGATCTCGTTTATTCACCAGTTGCTTGTGATTGCTTGCGTCTCAGATTCAAACATTCGCACTATATACCTAATAACTCTTGTTTATCTGGTCTCTAGCTATATCTTTCCTATCTTCCGAGTGTAGACACTTCGACGTGGTCATTAACGCTTAACAAGGAACGCCAACATTACGCTGATTTGCGACAGAAGTACATTACAAGTCCTACCTCCGAGTCAGACTTGGACAACACGATTGATTTGAATGTGAACCACCCTCTGTCTTTGGATGAATCCGTATGAGAATTTCTACTATTGATGACTTGAGA